TAGCAGTCAAGTGCCTTAGCACTACGCACACTTAATAGACTACAGTATATTGTAAACATAATTTCACATGTACTGGGGAACCAAGAAATTCGTGCAACTTGTTTATTGTGATACTTGCTTTATTGCAGTGGTCTGAAACCAAACCCACAGTATCTTCAAGGTATGCCTGTATATTCTGTTAAAAATTAAGACGCAATTTGATAGTCAAGAAGAGCTTTTTCCATTTCGAACAAGATGGAACTCACTGACTGCTGTAACTGGAGAGGGCCCTGGAGATTAGTATCTCATGTCAGACTATGGGCTGGCAGTAGGCTGAGGTCTGAGGAACCTTGGTGGCACAACGGTTAAGTGTTCAGCTGCCAACCAAAAGGTTGGCAGTTTGAACCCATCCAGCAGCTAGCAGAAGAAAGATTTGGTCATCTGCTCCCACAGATTACAGCCTAAAAAACCCTCAGGGCAGTTCTACTCTGTCACACGGGGTCACTATGATTCAAAAATTAACTCCAGGGCACCTAACAACAGGAAGTTGAAGTCAACAACCCAGCTCACATGACATTTAAAGTGCTACTCTTCCTATTACGCCGCACTGCCAAGGAGACACCAAAGATTTCAAAACTCATGACTCAAGAATAAGGTTCACTGTGGTTGGACAGCTACTCACCGTCTCCTCAAAAACAAAACAAAAAACTTGTTAAAGATGTGGGGAAAATGATATTAAGTCAGAGTTCCAAATTCTTAGGAAATTTTTCAAATACTTTATTTTGTTCTGCATTGAATCTTACAATTATTACTTCCTCTCTCAGCCAGGGGAAGGGGTTCACACACACAGGCAAGCTGGGACAGTCTGTAAAAACCTGTAAAAAACACGAATAGCTTATTCCATTCTCCCAAGCAGGGTTTAAAATTTCAAAGTAAAAACAGCAGTCATATATAATTATGTTTAACTTTCTCACATTATTCTGTAGGAAAAAAACATATAAAATGGGGAGGGGTTCAACATCAAGGTAGAAAAATAAAGTAAAATGCTAAAATCCAGATGGCTTTGAGGTTACACAAGATCTTAAAATCACTAGAACTACTTTAAAACATATAAATGGGCCCCATTATGAGAAATATAAATAAGAACATGATAAAACAACTGAAAAGCAAGACAGAGAAGACATCTAAAGGTCACTCAAGCTTAGATAAAGATAAACCACAAGAGACTGGGTAAAGCTTGAACACACAGACTCACGTCTTACATGAGAATTCAGGGACAGCTCTACTAGCAAAACTCTCCCTGCAGCTTGTACCCTGTGGAGGAAAAAGTCAAACTCATGTGCTGAACCACTTGTCATTTGTGTCAAAGCCCCTAATTTTCAGAGCCAAAACCTAAAGTACTTTTATTGAAGTACAAAAGTTCTGTACAATTTACAGGATTCCCAAAAGATATCATTGTCCCAAACCAATCACTGTCACTGAGTTGACTGACTCACAGCAACCCATTAGGACAGAGTAAAATTGCCCCATACGGTTTTCAAGGCTATAAATCTTTATGGAAACAGACTGCTTCATCTTTCTCCTGCAGAGCAACTAGTGGATTCGAACCCCCAACCTTTTGGTTAGCAGCCAAATGCTTTAACCACTATGCCACCAGACTTCCTATTTCACTGTTAACATTTTTCAAAATTCCACGTGGAAGATATATGCAGTTCATGCTGAGAAACACTGCTTTACTCTGAACCCAAATTACCCATCAACTGACAAAAACTGACCTCCAGAGGCAACATTTGTTGGAATTGTTCACACTCCCACTCTTTCTCACTGCAAGATCCTATTTTCTTCTACAGATCTAAGTAACTTTTTCTGAACAAGAAGAGATCTTGTAGAAACCATCCATGCCCATCTCCCCACTGGAATGCAGGAACTGGAGGAGGACCCTAGTCTCAACTCTAGGTTCATGACCTTCCCACAACACTGTGTCCCTTGTTGATTTTGATAAGGGTCAGAGAGAGACTCTAGCCACATGTCTCCTTCGTATGTTCAGTCTTCCCACTCCTATGCTTGACCCTGGCCTCTATCTGTCTACACTGTTATTTGGTGAATTGTTCATCAAGGCTGTATCTTAGAAACTCAGCTCTGCCCCCACTGGAAACCAGTAAGAACCATAAGGTCAGCTTTGCTGACACTGAAACTGAGGGACTGACCTCACCTACCAGAAGCTTCCCAAATCTCATTCCACTGCCTGCAGTGAAAGTTAAACTAAAAGCAATCAGGGCCTGTGCCCAGCCTCCTATCCTCACCAACAGTTCTCACAAACTATTTAAAAAAAAAAACACATTGAAAGTAAACCAGGAAAAAGGGAGAAATAAATTATAGTTTATAAGGTGATATATCATACTGATTTCTAACTGCTAATAAAGCATTTTGCAATTCTAACTCTCTCTCTTGACAGCGTTTACTAAGTCCTTTCACAGGCACCCTAGTTTGCTTTCAAACAGTCACAGGGCAAAGAACTGTCTCTTCCTACACTCAACACTCAGGAGTATGTCTATAAAAACTATTTCCACTTTACATTTCAGAACCTCAAAGTGTCTGATACAAAGAAAATGGGAGTTATTTAAACTTTAATTGATATTTATATACATACAGTCAATGAAGAGTTTAGGTACTTGATTGAAGAGCCTAAAAATGTGACTCTAAGGCTAGGCTTGTTCATCTAAATAGCTAAATTAATGAAGCCATCTGAATGCAACATCCTTCGACAGAAAGCTTCTATACTCTAAGGACTAAGGTAACTTTACTTTCCCATTCAAATTAAGCAAAAGGGGAGAGAGACTTTCAGATTACAGCTGCACAGCAATCTGGCTGAAGTCTTCTAGGTTAATAGTTCCAACTACACCCAAGATCCATGTTGAAGTACAGAATCCCTCCTAGGGCTCTATACTTAGTTATATCCTCATATGCAAAAACTAAGGAAAAGAAACATCATGCAGATACAGAAGTATGAACTTGCCTCATTTTAAAGTTTTACGATTCCAACGGCAAATTCAAAAGCATAAGACATTCCTAGCTTTAAATCAACAATAACCGGGTCAGAGCAGCGAAATAACTGGGGATTCACGAACACTGACCACAGGCTTGGGTTCAGCTTGGTTCACTCTGTGTGCTGACAACCGTCACAGATTTAGGTCATACCACATCCTAGCAAGCTAATCTGCTTAGGTTGATCAGGTTTAGAAAGCCTTTGTTTTGTTTGTGGACTAAGCTATGAACTACACCAATGTCACAAATGGAGCTCTCTGTACTAAAACATAAAAGAAAATCCTTAAAAACTTCTCTAGGATCATCTTGGTTGCAGGAAAAGAAAACCGCTTCCTCTTCAACACATATTACATTCAAGACAGTAATCCTTGAAGAAAATACAAGTTTTTAGATCAATGAATCTGAATCACCTAATCTTCATTGGGGGGGGGGGGGTTTGTGAACTCCATTCTACTTGGGGAAAAACAGGATGAAAATGGAAGTCCAATCTGAAGGAGCTGGACTCCTTAATACCACACTGGGGGGTGGGAGGAAGGGATTAAAAGGATTTGCTATTTACTTTACAAAATACCCAAAGCCCATCCTCAGGACTGCTCTCCTACCTCAGGATACAAAACCCCCGTCCTAAACCTTTCCTCATCTGTTATCAGGATTTCAGGTCAGACCTGAAGAACCCGTGCCATAGATCATCGTCTCATCTGCCTGGTGCTTCCTAACACTGGTCCCTTTCCTGGTCTGCCAGCTCCTTCTGATTCCAGCAAGCACCGAGGACCTAATGGAGAACTGCAGCCAGCATCATCCTTGTTTAGCTGATAAGGAGAGGTCAAACAGCAAGGACTCAAATGCAATGCTCCCCCCTCCCAAAAAACAAAACTAAGACTTGAAGCTGTACCCATACGGCAAAGCCTCAGGCATTATTTGTCAAAGTACAGGGCTCAGGAGAGCAGGCCCAGGACTTCTGATGTCCATCATAAAATACAGATTTTCAATCTCCTGACTCAGAATTTCTGGGGATAGACTTCCCTTTTGCTTACCTATCTTCCATGCAACACAGAATCTGACAAGCAAACAGCTTATCCAAGTCTACTACACCAATGAGCTAACTCAGGAGTCACATCAAAAAGCTTTATGTAAATGAAGAGGTCAATGGACTTAGGTCAAAGGTCAAAAGTACACACAGTATCTATCAAGCTTCACTCCTTCCCAAGGTGACTTCTCAGTGGACATCACCCAACAGTATCTTCACAAATTCCATGCCCTCCTTCCTGGAGATATCTTCTTGTAGGTTACAACACAGAAGGTGTCCAATTCCTTGTGGAAGTGTATTAACATATCAAGGAAGGTATCACACAGCTAACTTCTAGAGGAAGTAACTGGTAATCCTAATCAAAAATCATCAAGTCGGGTTTACAGAGCACCTTTGGTGGTGGCAGGTCCTCTAAAGACCTTACAAACAACTACCTTGTGCCCATTTAACTTTATTTAAAACGGAAAATGGCAGCAACTCTCCTTTCGAATTCCTAAACTCATTTTTAAAGATGCAGAATTTAAAACGGTAAGAAAAAATCCAGGGTGACAATCTTATTTTCTAGACCAAGACTGTATTCACCGTCTTTGAAACGCACTACAGGAAAAATAGAAGATAATGTCCCCCATGGTCGTCCGCCAAGTACTGTCCTGCTGTACTTCTCAGGAGGGAACAGACTGATGAGGCCGCAGGCTGCGCAGCTGGGCCAAGCCTTGGACTCCTGCCAGGAAAAGCCCCTCGCAATAATATGAGAAATTGAAATAGTGACAGGCTGAGAAATCTAATGTTTGAGGAATGAAGAAAACAGAAAGCAGACTTAGAAACAAACGCATCTGAAAAACAGTGAAGGAACTTAAAAGATTAGTCCCAATTTAAGAAAGCATTGGTACCACACCACTTAACCTAAAAAGCATATACCCACAGCCAGACAAATTTCAGAAGACATGACACTCTTGAAATACAGAACTTTATTTAGAAACTGTTTAAAGTAGAAAAAACCCTGTCAAGAAAGACCAGGTGGAAAGTGGGTTCCCAGTAAACTGGAATTTTAGGGCAACAAAAGTCTAAAAGGCCACGAAAGAGAAATAGCACCACTGTCGTCTGAACAATGGCTAATAACTTGTATTTTTTTCTTTTTTTTTTGGCATTGTTAATCACTGAATCTGTTTTTTTCCTCTGAATTCCACACGAAGCATGCACTACACAACAATTTCATCATAAAATACCTGTTTTCTACACACATTTTTAGGACGAGCTACCACCAGAAACAAATCAATACAAACACATCAGGGGCTGAACAATCTCAGCAGTGGGTGACACACATTTTGCAGAATTCTGCCAAACAAGGGGACTGAATAGGCCATTGGCGAAGCAAATGAGGGAGAGTTAAGGAATGAAGTATTTTAAATATTAATAATTAAATCAGACATGGTACTGTATTTTCTGCAAAAGAAAATTAACATTTAGTAACACGCTAACAAATTTTATCTCCAAAGAGATTAGTGCACTGGCAAAGTATTCCGTTAACAGTGGAGAGCTGTGGACAGCAGGTACCAAAAACAGCCAATCCTTGCAGATCCCAAGGCAGTGGGGGCCTTCACTGATCACTCCCTTTGCCAGAGGTCCAGAAAGAACTTGCAGCATCATCACCAGTCTGCTTTAGGTCCACTTGAAGCAGAAAACTTTTGAGGAGCCAACAAAGAGGAATCCCCAGTGGGCAAGGGGAGCAGAGAAGAGAAGCACGTTCAATGTAAACTTAAAAGACAGTAAAATGGGACACAGCCACCATTCACATCACACAGATGTGGGCACATCCCCAAAAGTAGCTGTTAGACTGAAAAACCAGACAAACTTTATTTCCCAAAAAACACAGTACAAAGAAATTTTGGGGGAAATCAGGAGGAGACATGCTCACTGAAAATCGAGCTCTTCAACTCAAACACCTCAGGGCTGAAACACACTCTCTAGTCATCCAGGCAACAATGCCTCTTGATATTTATTTTCAGCAAGGATGCAACTGGTCAGTGACACCAAATGGCTTTACAGCGCAACTCCTAAACTTTCCTATTGGGGTCAATGTCTTGGCCTCCAAGGATTCAAGCAACCCTACAAGGCCTATCAACAGCAGGTTCCACAAAGGTTCCAAGGTCTGGTCCTTCCTTCCCAAATAATGTCTAACACACAAAATCTCCTGTCATGTTACACTTACATTTTGAAATATGGAAGCATATTTTAAATACTCTTAAGGCATTTATTTATTAAACGTTCTCTGCCAAGATTTCACATTAGCTTAAAATTTAATTCAGTCTTTCCATTTCTCTACTGACACCTTCTCCAGCAACCACATGGTGAGCCCCATGGTCAGCCTCTTTGTTCTCTAGGTGAGCCAACTAGATGTTAATACTGCTCTGCGACAAGGTAAAAGCTCCTAACTCAAACTTATGGAAAAAGGAGTGAGATTTCTGCAAAGTGCACTTTAAGAAGAGGTACTTTTTGCTTATGAAAAGAAACCAGTGAGTCCTCTAAGAATCATAAAAGGGAGTATTTTACAGTTAAGCACATGATTTGGAGTGAAGAATTCAGACGCTGCTCTGCTGGTCCAGGCTGTTGTTAATACTCTTCTTGTTCCTCCTGTGGGCCCCCTTCATCGGGTATCACAAAGCCTTCCTAAAACAGGAAAAAAGAGAAGGAAAAGCTATCATTCAACCTTGAACTAGAAAGACTAGTTTCTACTGTGGGTTCACTTTCCTTATGTTTAAAGCCTTTCAAAAATCAAAGGTTCCTCCTATTTCAACGCTGGCCTTTAACCCAGGCCTTTGAACTGGTTCTTCCTAGTCAGTCATGGCCAACCAGTCAACAATGGAACAAAGTTGAATTTGTAAAATGTGGGTATACCAGAATGGGAAAAATTATGGGTCAAAACCCTGCAATAAAATTAATTACCCCCTTAGAAAAACAAGGGCAGCATGCACCTTGCATAGCAACCAAATCTCCTACCAACACCATCAGAAACAACAGTGCCCGGTTCAAAGATGGCAGCCAATCATGCCACTTTGAATGTCTGTCACTCTCCACAGTTCTGGCAATAATCCAATCTCCTGTATCAGGCTCTTTGAAAAGGTTCACTGTGTTTCTGAGTCTCCCATTCCAGGACTTTGATCTGTAATTTTTCCCTTTCTAGTTATTCTTCTGATAAACCCACTTTTCACAAATTCAAGTCTGTTCTGATTTTGCTGCATTGTCCATGACTGAACTGGATTGAAGCCCTGATTTAACCACACAAGGCTAGGTGACCACAATTTTATGTCTTAGGCAACAGAACTGCATCTCATATAAGGCAAAACTGAGCACAATCAAATTCACTCTCAAACTTTTGGAAGCAACAGATACGTACAGTGTCTTCACTACGGGGATGATTTCACACATCAGGTTATCCCACTGTACACTTGAAATATGTGCAGCTTATCATATGTCAATTATACCTCAATCAAGTTGTTTAAAAAAAAAAATTTACCCTGAAAAAGTCATCCATAAAATTCAGTACTACATCGTCTCCTCTCAACAAGCCCTACACAGCCAGTTCTCCCTTTACATTTTCCTTTGATTGAGCCCCAGTAGTAGTTAGTATGTACTTAGGAATCACGTTTTACCAAAAATACCTGCAACAGCTGGACTGACTCAACACTCCCTCCCACACATACACACATTCATTCACTCCTGGGAATTCTGTCATGTATTTATTGCAGGGAATGACTATACTATCCTAACAATTAAGCTTCTCCTTCAAACATCCATCTTTCTTTAAAAAAAAAAAAACTGAATCCCTATCGTTGCACTGACTCTACTAAAACAGTACTCAAACCAGACCAAGTTATTTTGAAGACACTTCTTTTCATTTTTTTTTATTTTTTTCCCCATTATCTAGCAGAGAAAGCCCTAAATATTTCAATCACCTATCTTATTCTCTCAAAATCCACAAACTGTTTATACAGGACAGTGATAACAGCATTAATATTAATTACCTTATAGGAGAGCTCTGGTGGCATAATGCCTAAGGCATTTGACTGCTAACCATAAGGCTGGCAGTTCAAATCCACCAGCCACTCCTCAGAAAGGTTGGGCAATCTACTTCTGCAGTGACACCACCTTGGAAACCCAAGGAGGGGTCGCTATGAGTCAGATCCGACTCAGTGTGTTTTATTTGTATACTGTGCTATGCAAACTACAAACCGCAAAATAGAGTTAGACATCCAACTCCTGAGTTGACCCTTTAGGCCTTGCTAGGAATGCAGGAGGACTATAAATAAATAAATAAGTAAGAGCATCAACTAGCAGACACAGCAAGAGCAAGACACCAAATGCTCCATCCAGGAAAAACCAGTCTTTTCTGATAAGCTACCATGTCATGATTGTTGTTGTTATTTGCTGTTGAGAACCTGGAGAAAAAATAACTTGAGGGCATTCTGTGGGCAGAAGACGAATTCAGATCCTCTCCATTGTGGTGGTGTTGTGTGCCATCAGTCAGCCCCGACTCACAGCAACCCCTCCTTGGGTTTCCGAGGCAGTATCACTACGGAAGTAGATTGCCCAACCTTCCTTTCGAGGAGTGGCTGGTGGGTTTGAACCGCCAGCCTTCTGGTTAGCAGTCAAGTGCCTTAGGCACTACGCTACCAGAGCTCCTATGTCATGATTAGTATCAGTAAATTCATCTGCATAATACATGTAGGTCCAATGAAACTTGTCAATGACCACACTTTGAGGGAATGGGAACCAGGTGAGCTGCTGGGATGGAGATGCAAAGCAACTCTCTGACCGCTGTAGACAGCAGACCCCAAAGAAAGGGCCATGTGCCTCATTCTCCAGGATATGCCTGGGCCTCTGCTAAAACGGAGGCAGCACCTCAATTGGAGGTGTCCCAGATGTGGGGGGTGAGGGAGTATGATAGGATGTGAGCCATGGCATTCACCCCCTATCAGTGGTCACAAACTACAGAAACAGGGCAAGACAGCCACCTCCTTGTCCTATTCCTGCCTCAAAGACCTCAAGGCAGAGACTGCAGCTGAACAGAGGTGCCATCTGGCTGACTCTGAAGGTTCAAAGATGAACCCTTTTGATGAATGCTATATTGGAGCACGGCAAAATTTGCTAAAACCAACAGATAAAACACATTTTCCCTTTCCATTGGTAAAATGGAAAGAAAACATCTTCATGTCAACACGTACATCTGTGGCATAGAGAATGTCCACAATCCTCTGCAATACAGGGTCGTTTTCCCCCTCATTCTCCTGGCAAATCAATTCAATGTTCCTTAGCTTTCCGAAGTAGAAGTCTCTCTCCTTCTCCAAATCTTCGACGGTAAGCTTCAATACGTTGACCTGCGCAAAGTATTAAAAAGGGATGGTTCAACATTAGAAAAACAATCAATGTAATCCACCACATAAATAAAACAAAGGAGAAGAACCACATGATCATATCAATTGATGCAGAAAA